TCCCTGTGACCTGCTTCTGACCAGCGCTCATTTGAAGGATCATTCGCTTGTTCTGCTTGACGATCACCGGAGCGCTCATCTCAAGCTGCTGTGCGGTGTATTAATGAGCCAGTCCTGGGTCTTTCTGGCTCGTTGGAATCATCCATCAGCATAAATCCCCTTTAACAAGAGTGAAGAGTTTCAGCCCATCAACATGAAGGTGCTCATAGATCACAGGCTTCAACACCCCTTGGTGAAAAAATGAAAGATTCATTCATAATGCTCTTTCTTGGGGAATAAGTCACAGCAGTGAGCACATCACACATTTAGCTACATGAGAAAGTCTTACTACTGAATACAAATAAGTAAATTAATATAGTATTAATAGTCATATTTCATATTCAAATACATTTTGAAATTTCATTTGCTAGGTGTATTTCCTCCTGAGACCCTGCTGGTCACTGTCCATGCTAGCTAGTTTGATCCGACCTCCAAAGCAGCTTTATGTGAATTATACCAGCTATTTGATCTTTAATCTCTGTGCAGATCTAATTTTAGAGCCCACTGTAGATGCTCTGTTCTTCATTGCTGATCACCCATATCCAATTAGACACTGAATTTGACAAAAGCTGAGGAACTTTTGGCGTTTCTTCTCCTCAAATACTTTAAACTCCAAGCCTTAGTCATGCTCTGCTGACAGCTGATTAAAGCGCTCTATGTGCCATGTCCAGGGATAGAGGGTCTCCATTGCTAAACTTTGCTGAAAGGATGGCAGGCAGGGTGTTTATGTCCAAAAAGCAATCCTTTTTACAGTGAAGGGGGATTTTTAAAAATGTCATGAAATGAAAGTAATATTTCTGGCTTGTATTCCACCTCGACTATGGACATGATCTTTTGTCTTTTCACAATGTTGCTCTTCCAGGGAAGAAAACCACAAACATTATAAACAAATGTATTTGGGGATTAGGTTGACCTTTTTTTTACTCATTATTATCTAGCTGTTATGCTGTGTCCCCTAAAATATTTGTTTGTTCAGGATCAACATAAACCCTTGGGTAAAGCCCCAGTTCTGTGATCAGTGTACTGCGGCCTGTTTTCTCAACCGTGACATGATGGAGTCTACAGCTCGGAGTTCAGTCTGTGCTGTGTCTGACATTACTCATTATTCCCTACACAAGACACACTCAGTAGGTTTGTCGATAGAGAGAAGGGAGGTTTGGATATTTATTTATGATTTTAAGCTGCAAATTATGCTCAGAGGCGAGCCTACATTAGTGCTGGGTGTGGTAGCAAGAGATGAAACAAGATATCATATGATTCATGCTGTGTGCTGACTGAGCTGTTGTTTTCAAACTGAGAGCTTCAAAGCTCGCTTTAGGATTACAAGTCTGGTCTTGTCTTAAATGTCTCTGAAAAGTCTCAAGGTTGGATGGATTTCAAGACATCTCTGCTGACTCTGCCCCAAAGCAGACCAAATACATTTTTAGCCATGCTAGCAGCATGGTTCTAGAGATGGCAATGTCTGTGGGTTGGTCATTCAGCCCTTCACTTTGGTCCAGACTGAAATATCTTAACATGTATTGAGCAGATTGCCATGACAGTTTGGACAGACGTTCATGGTCCCCAGAGGATTAATCCCACTGACTCTGGTGAGCCAATGATTTTTCCTCAAGCATCACAAGCAAGCTGACATTTTTATCTTTTTAGTGAAATGTCTCAACAACTATTGGATGGATTGAATGCCCGAAACCTCTGAAATATCTCGACACTTTTTGCACAGTTCCCAGATGGTGTATCCTATTTTGCTTTGATAATCCCCCATCTGTACAAATAGCACATTCTTCAAGTCAACATTTAAATTTGTTCAGCACTTGCTTTATGACTAAATACTTAATTATTACTTAATTATTACCATCAGCCTCGCACTGCACTTTGTGTTTACGGCTAATTAGTAAATGTTAGCATGCTTATCCACTAGACTAAAATGCATGTTGGCATGCTGATGTTTGCATTTAGCTCAAAGCAACACAGTGCCAAAGTACAGAGCTGCTTGTCTTGTCTTGTTAAATTTAAGAATGTGGCTGTGTCCCAAATCACTCCCTCATTCACTCATTCACCATTGTCTATTGAAAGACAGTTTATTCAATAGTGAGTAGTAAAATGAGATTTCGGACAGTTAGTAATAATCACTGACAGGTGCAGAGTCGCACAGTGGTAATTTTTGCATTGTGGGATCGTTAACACAAAGTAGTATGTATGCCATCGACGTTACTTTTTTTCGTTACCATTGTGGAATTTGTTTTGAGGGTACCATATATTGGATATGTTTACACACAGAATTGGTTTTATTAAATTAAATGGTGGACAGTTAATATACTGCATACACTAGTAGATCGGGAGTAATATTGGAGAGTGGACACAGTTTTTAATCACCTTTTATTACCTAGCCAATGGTTTCCATAGAAAAACTGACTAGCTGAGACTTGAAACCTGTTTGAGATAGGAAAATCCATCACAGCAAACAGCATTTCTACTTTTTGGCCAAGCATTTTCACAATTAACCAGCAAATGACAACCAACATGGAACATCCATACATAAGTGTCATTTACACTGGCGATGCTGGGGACATGTCCCCACCGCATTTTGAAATGGCTGATTTTGTCCCCATCATTTTTGAGAAGCATTTGTTAAAAATGTTCTGAAAAAGTAGCTTGCATCAAGAAATGTTAACAAATAAAATGTTTTGAGAAAGTTTTATTTGCACTACAAGAAAACATGCAATGGAATTTAAATATAGAATTATAGCTGCAAACAGCACTCGGCGGGCCCTCGCATGTGTAGCACATCGAGGTGTGAGGTGGCCGCATTGCAGATTCTGGAGCATTGCCGGTGCAGCTGTGAATTTGCCACGCGCTTCGGACGCTGCCAAAGGTGTAAAACGTCATTTCCTGTGTCCCCTTTGTGGCGCTACAGAGCACTTGGCGCTACAATAACTGAATATTGCCATGTAGATGTGTTCGGGGCGGAACTGTTATCAAGTACATAAATTTTGGTACAGATTTGAGCTTGTCCAGTGAAGTAGTGACAACTTCCGGTTTCATGGCGAAACATGGAAGTTCGCTGCCACGCCACGGATACACCTTTGAAGGAAAACTCACACACTTTACAACACATCACATCATCACAAAATCAATGTGTTAAGGGTTTTCTGAAATAGTTTTGAAGTAGATATAGCCAACCTGCAAGAAGTGCTTCATCACAGCATAAAGGTAGTCACTTCCTGTTGCCAGCAGGTGGCGCTTTGACTATAAGTGAATACTGGCTTGTAGACGTGCTCAGGGCGGGACTCTTAGCAATCATAAAAGGTTTGGTGCACATGTGAGCATGTACACTGAAGTTACAACAACTTCCTCTTTCATGGCGAATCATATATATTGGACGCCACATCACACCACAGGCATGCCATTACATGAAAACTCCCCATTTGTAAAAATGGGATTAGTCAGTGGGATTAGTCTGCACAGCAAAAATCTGAAGTCAGTGGGACTAATTATCTAGGAGGAGTTCGATAAAGTATGGAATGTGTAAATCATCCAAAAATTACCATAAAATTAAAAATGGCCGACTTCCTGTTGGCTTTAGGGCATCGTTTCAAGAGGCTTTTTGGTACATCTGGACATGATACATATGCAACAGAAATTTCATATATGTAGGTGAAATGTGCGGGCGGGGCTGCTTTGTTGAAGGTCACTTCCTGTTGTCTGCAGGTGGCGCTATGACTATGGGGGAATGTTGGCATGTGCATGTGTTCAGGGCAGGGACTCTCATTAAACGTGTAAAATTTGGTACAGATTTGAGCATGTATGCTATACATGTGAGCATGTATATTGAAGTTAACTTCCTGTTTCTTGGCGAATCGTCTATTTCCGATGTCACACCACAGGCACGCTCGTGGACGAAAACTCACCGTTTGTACAACTTTTAATCTGCAATGGGTTTAGACTGCACACTTCAAAAAATTTGAAGTTGATCAGACTGACTCCCTAGGAGGAGTTCGTTAAAGTACAAAGTGTGTAAATCGCCAAAAATGACCATTAAATCCAAAATGGACGACTTCCTGTTGGGTGTGGGGCATTTTTGTATGTTTGGACATGATACACGTACCATAGATATTTCGTACACGTAGGGGAAACTTTGGCCGGGGGCTGATTATGTGCCAAGTTTGGTGGGTTTTTGAGCATGTTTAGGCCCCCAAATATGAGATTACTTTGCAGAAAAATAATTCCTTCAGTTCCAATAGGGACCTCGCATGTTTCATGCTCAGGCCATAGTTACCTACTTTGCTTTACATTTGTAATGCAGGTTTTACTGACATTTAGCTCATTTAGATGTGGTAACTTTGACTGTATTTTGTTGTCTCTGACTTCCTCTGTCATAACTCATTTAAGATGACAACACATCTGATCAAACAGCACAGCTGTTGTCATTAACCTGTTCGTTTTGTCTGATGCTGTGTTGGCCAACATTGTTTTTATGAGCCATGATGAAATTAATATTCCTTCCGTTTTCTGACAAAACTTGAAAAATCTGTAAATTAAAAACTATATTGTTAATTCCACAGTGCACCTGCAAGTTGTTTTTTTATTGTAAAATGTCTCGCTTCTAAGGGCCCCGTATCAAGATTGTTTATGTTTTTAAAAAATTACTGTTGGCCAATAATATCCACATCAGTGTTACCCTCAAAAATCCAGTATCGATCCTGCTATGCCACATTCACAAGTAAACTTAACTCTTCAGAAATGTAAACTAAGCTCTTAGGGCAAAATAGACCCAGCTCATAAAGACAATGGGGGAAAAGAGTGGTGAGCAAGACGTTTATGTCACAGAGCTAATTGACATTATCACACCGGCTGAACGTGAGGCAGCTGGATCAAGTGGTCAGTTACCGTTAGAAGCCTTCAAGTGTTTCTGGCCAGAAGTCATAATAAAGATGCTGAGTGTATAATGGATGTGCACCCTTAACTTTATTTCACAGTACTTTGTCTGAAAGCAGATAACATAGTATTAAGAAATAAAAAACACATTTTGTGCTCTTGTTTGTTTTGATGCACTTGAACAACAACTGCTGATCTCTCTAAATGTTTTATCAACACTTTAAACTCTTATTAGACACAGAAGTGCTACAATATGCAGTATAAAAACATGTTGCTAAATAGCTAAATGAACTAGAAACCTGACAGCTCTCAGAAGATACTGAAATGCTTTTATAAAAATAACAACAAATGGAGACAGTATTAACACTGACATAAAACAAAAGAAAATTTACACTTGTACACATATCCCAAAATCTTAAGGCGGTTGAAATATTAAGTCAGACAACCAAGTTAACACTTAATGAAGTGCTTACATAACACATCAGGCTCATGAATGCTTCATTTCACATTAATGAATAATAATGGCGTCATGACACAGTTACATGAAATGGATGCAGCTTTATGACACAGAAAAATACAAATGGGCAAACTAGTGCCTGCAGTTATACTTACATACTCAGTGTCTAATGGAACAAATAAGAGTCGATAAAAAAAAAGTCACCAGAGAAATTAATTCCCTCGGGTCAGCTCTGCTATCAGATTGCAGACTCTGGTCCTCACCCAAACACACAGTACACAGAGTATGCCTGCCCTGCTTTCTTGTTTTCCATTCATAGATACTGAAGTGTTTAAAATGAATTTCCACTCAAAGGGACTGCTGTTGGTATGCACTTTTTTGAGTGTGCAAAATATGCCATTTGAGCTAAACTGAAGTTACATAAAATGCAGCAAGAAACAAAATGGAAAAGAATAGTTTGCTTTGTTTAAGCACCAACAATTCAAAGTTGTATTAGGATTGTAGCTTCATCCAACATAATAATAAAGTGCTAATTGGTTTTATTTGAATTTATGAATTGAGGACCAGAATAACTGTGTTTCCCATCCACCTCTGTATGCATATTTTCAATGCATACATACAGACAGACAAAACCTGAGTGAAAATTACAAAAATAAATATCTCAAAGAAGTTTTTATGCTGGGCTGCGGTGGAAAGGTTGGTGTGTTTTAAAGAAAGCAAAATACAGTGGCTCTTTTAATTATCTTGTTGCACCCTCTTCTGCAATGGTTTCTTTAGACCAGAGAATTTAGGTTAAAGTTTTGTGCTAAATTTGGATGGAATTTTGATTAACAACAGCAGGAAGGGAAAGAAAGAAAGAAGACCTGCTGATACTGATACTGAAATTCTTTTGTTTCCTTAAATTGAAACGGATTATCATAATTAAGATCACAGTTGTATAATGTATATAATAACAGTCTTTTGGGTGTTTTTTGCCTTTATTGAAGATAGACAGGAAATGTGATGGAGAGAGAGGGGAGGACATGCAGCAAATGAGCCGAAGGTCGGATTCGAACCTGTGCCGCTGCGGTAACCGCAGAGTGGGCTAACCAACGACCTCCCCTAGAAATGACTGGTGTGAGGCTCACCTGCTGAAACTTAGAGTTCTCTGCTTTTTAATAAACTCATATCCTACATTGAGAGTACATTTACAGTTACATTCATGAATATGTAATGAATCATCATGAGCCTGTTTGGATTAAGTTATATAAACATCTTACAAAGAAAAAGCATTAAGTCTTATATTTACTCAAAAAACAAAAAATCATGATATACAAATTCACAGCCAGTAAGTCAGAGGATTCAGTTTCACATTCTCAAATTTTACTCTAGCATGTTGATATTCGTCTGGTACGTAGCTTTCATAATATACAAAAAGATTGAACAGCCTAGCAGGTAAAAACAAAATGAAACCTTTCTGCAAGCAACAAGGCCCATCCAAATACCAAACCACTTTCCTGCATTTATCGGATCAGACATAATGCAATATAATACACTGGAAGAAATATAGAAGCAATTAATAGCATTAAATAAATATTTCCTTACATAAAAGCTGCCATAGACAGATCAGAATATGTATCTGTTACATTCATCCATCGGGCTCTCCTGCAGGGAAGAATAGCTGTCTGTACCTAAACAACAGGTGACAAAGTACAGCTGCCTTCCCTTTGAAATGTTAGTGATTAATAGTAGGCTTTTAATATCCTGGATGCGGATATTATTGTTTCCCAATGTTTTCATTTTTGAAAGATAACTGATACAATAAAAAAGAAAGAAAGTCAACATGGACCTGCTGCTCTATGTTCATACGATTTCCAGACTGTGCAGAAATATTGTAAACATTTCAGCTTTTTCTACTTTGGTACTAAAGATACAAATGATGGTTTATGAAACTGATGACTGAGACCTTCATTACAGCATGTAATATACTGCATCTTGCCTGTATGAAGTCTATCAGATTCCATCCAGTGAATACTGCTTTGTGTGATTAAGGGGACATAAAAACTGAATCCGTCTGTATCTTGTAAATGCATGTAAAAGCTTAAAAAAAATTTAAAAAACAGGCGGTGAAGGTTAAAATGACAAATGATCTGACAGGTTTAAAGATGGACATGCTGTTCTTCAGCCACAAGTTATTCTAAATGAACAGCGCTCCGTTTGATAAACCTGGATAATCCACTAATACTTTTCCATTTACACAGCAAACATTGCAAATATAGAAACCCATATCTGTACATAGTTTTACTGAATTAAATATATGCAGGTAGGGAAGAAAAAAAGTTCTTTTTGAATGAAGGGTCCAAGTAGTTCCTCAAAAAAATATTGAGGTTTCAGTTGACATATCTTCATATAATAGTTTCATATTACACAACAGCAAATCCACTGTCACAGGACTTGGCCATGCGATACCCAAAAACCTATAATCCATTGTAACATATATTATTAATTTGTAATATATATTTTACCTTTAATAGATAAAAGTTTTCCCAATGAATGATTTACATAATAAGACAAATTTAAAGAATCTTGACCCCATTTTCCTCACAGTTAAAAGAGAACGTGATACATATGAGGGAGTAGTTGATTATAATATGGAAGTATCCATTGATTCAATTGTCAGACAAGGTTCTTGTGTCATTTCTGCAATGTGTGGTCCATTTTTAAAAACACCTAAAGAGGTTATGATTTATGTTGGGCTGATACACCTTTCCAGTAGTCTAAAATATCATGCAAGTCCTCATCCTTTGCAAACTGGACTTTCTTACGCAGTGCATGGCCTGCAGCCATGTACTCGTCATCTTTGTGCCGTTTCCGGTGGAGTTTAAATCGCTCCCAGATACTGTGTGATGGTTTGCAGTAGTATTCGGGACTGGAGGAGTAGCTTAGATTGTGATACTGAGATGGCAGCTGGGAATATGCTAAGTCTCTGGAGCGGGAGTGAGTAAGAGGCTCCAACATGGAGGACTTGTGGCCATCAGGTCCTTCAAGCTCCTCTATCTGAGCATCAGGATATGAGTGCCGGTGGTCACTGTATTGACGCATCTTCTCAGCCTCAGCCCTCAGGATGGCGGCAGCAGGTGTTACTGTGAGGAGAGTCTCTCCTGTTGGGGAGGCTTTCTCTATGTACTTGGATTCAGAGCGATAAGGCCTGGGGCTTCGCATGGGCCCTCCTGTGGCAGTGCTGGGCCTCTTTGGCGAGACATCAGAGGTCCGATGCCTCTGCAGAGAATGGTGGTAGCTGTCCTTATACACTGGGGACAGAAGGCCAGATTTACTCTGTGGGTGTTCTGATATTAGTACGAGCTGGGGCTCTGCAGTGGACACTGCTCCAGATTTCACCCCTTGGAAAGAGGTGGATTCTGACTTTAGAGCGTCTATACAGTTGTTAATTATCTGATTGACTTTATCCACCTCTTTGGCAATGGTGGAAATCTCTGCCACCGACCCCTGGCTATTTCCAGCCATTCCTATGTCACACTCTCTGCGTTCATGGTGGTCCACGCTTCGCACATCCATGTAATTGCCTTTCATCATTTTAGGTGTATCACTTATCTCTTGAAATTTGTACTGCTCCATTTCACCTGCAGATGGTAAATACGGCATACGTGCCATGCTCTCTCCGGCCAACAGCTGTTTCTGTGACATTCGAGAAATAGTCCCTCCCTCCAGTTCTTGTCCATATTTGAGTTCCATTATATTTTTCTTCAGGCTACCTGCTTTTTTGTGCTTTTCATCTTGCTGACGCTTTCTTCGCAAGCAATAGTAGACCACACCTAGAAAAATAACCATGCTAAAGAGGCAGCCTAAAATTGTCATAATGTAGTGAGTAGCAGTTGCATTGTTTACAACTCTATCCTTTCCATTCCAAGGGCCAGTAGTGATTGTCAGACAAGTGTGGTTGTGTCTGAGAGAATTACGTATCGAAGCAACACAGTATGTGTAGTTAGTGTGGGGTTTAAGGTTTTTTAGTTCAATGTCCTCCTTTATATCTTTCAGGTTTTGAATATCTGTGAAAAAGCTGTTGTTGTACAGAACCAGGATGTACATCTTCTTGTATGGATGAGGAATCTGAACTGTGATGGTGGCACCTGTATTCGATACTTGCTTCAGTTTCATCAGGGGGTTTACTTCCACATCATTGTACGTTGTACTGATAGTAATGTCTTCTGGTTCTGTGCCTGAGGGACAATCTTCCAGCCCACAAAGTGTCAAGTCCGGTGGGGGTGTTGTGGGCTCAGTGGGTACAGGAATAAATGGTGTCACATAGTCATCAGTGCATACAGTTGTGAGCATGTGAAGCGCATTTCGATATGTTGGATTGTTAGGATTCTGGCTCAGTAAACTATAACCAGAGACGCCAGGTGGGGAGTCGCAGACCATCCGCTCATTCGTCCTGTTAGGGAAAACTGAGAGCCATTTGACAAAACCAAGTAATTCACACGAGCAGTTGAAAGGGTTGGTGTACAGCTCGCAGGTGGTCAGTTTAGTCAAACTGGTAAACGTGGACCCGTCTAACTGCTGTATTCGGTTCATGGAGAGGTCAATGTTCTCAATGTTGGGGCATTCCCAAAAGGCATTGGGTGTCACAGTCTCAATCAGGTTTGCCTGGAGGTAGAGGTACTGCAGCTTTCCTAAACCCCGGAGGATCCCCTCTGTCAGGTTCCGCAACTTGTTGAAGCCCATTTGAAGGACTTGTAAGTTAAACTGAGCAGAAAAGGCGCCATCCTCTATGTAGGAGATTTCATTCTTTGTCAGGTTCAGGTAGGTCAAGTTGGCAAAGCGACTAAGGGCAGAATATTGGATACTTTTGATTTTGTTTTCATTCAGACGAAGGTCCACAATGGTGCTGTTGATATGCTGTGGGATGGCCTCATAAGGTGGTTGGTTTTGGCTGCAAATTGCAAGCCACACAAAGCCCTTTTCACCCTCAATTAACCAGCAGTCTCCACTGACTTTGCCAATATGAGTCAAATATACAATGGCTACAGACCAAAACAAGGCACTCGTCACCATGCCTAAGCTGCAGGCCATTGGTGCTTCTCTTAGAGTCATGTGCTGCTCCAAAACAAATGAGAGGAGGGTGATACCGCTGTGATTTCAGTACAGCCAAGACGATCCTGTTGGAAAATCAGCTGGATGTTCAACTGTTCTCAGGGCCAGAAAAAAGCCTTTTATTTGTCTCCTCTTCATTGATGGCTGGTTTGTCCCCATGTACCAATCAGAAAAATGTTGAGTATCTGCCCTTATACTGAGTTTCTGTCATTGAGGTTTGTCTGCAGCGAGCCTGTGGTGATGCTTAAAAGAGATTTCACAACCTCAGGTTGGCTTGTGCTTTTCTCCTTAAAGGTTACCATCATTAAATGATCTCATCTTATTGTTTCTGCCACTGTCCTTTCTGCATCTCCCTCATGTGCACGGAGGAATAACCTGCAATATAAAGAAAAGAACACATAGCTGACATTAATTACATTATATCAAAACAAGAAATGTACTTATAAATGCATATGGTGGTATTGAAATGTTAGACTCAAAGCCTAGGATTCATGTTTACTGCAGGCTCTCCTTGGTCATGCCCCACTAATTCTTTTGTACACAATTTAAGATGTGTTTGCAGTCCCTGTAGCAGACTGCAATTTAAGGAAGCTGTTGGCCAATTACCACTTGACAGGTTGGGAAAAACAGGGTCCCTGTTTGCACACCATTAATCTCAGGACTGTGAGATGCAACTGAGGGAGGCCAATGTTAAGAAGCTGCATTAAATCAATTATCCAACACGACATGTAATGGCACTTTGGATCAATGTAAGGATTTTCCTCTGAAAACATTCATGCATAAATTAAAATCATTTTGAGCAAGGGAAAGGAGGGAAATTGTGCTGAAGGTGTGATTACTGGGTCGCGCTAAATTAAATTAAGATCTTTTGCAAAGGGAGACAAGCCATGGTTGTACAAATTGGAACAACAGCCCTTTCTGCCTAATCTGCTGTAGCGGCCACTGCAGAAAAAAAATCCCCAAATAATTATTTTCTTTTTTTCATGCTTTTTAATCTTATGTCTCAAATACAAATTGCAGTATATGATATCCGTACAAGCACTTGGTTTGCTTTCAAATACTCCATATGGTTTTACTGTTTGTGCAGTTTCATAGAATAACACAATACCAGTTAATGGACTTCTAAATGGTTGGAATAGGCCACCGGATAATGTTAAATGCTACTAAAAGTGGAGTAGAGAAGAGTCAAAGTCAGCAAACTGACTCTTTCATGTCAATTGCAGAACAGTATTTATCAAAAGTTTGCAAACATTAGCGAACATTTGCCACCATAAACTACTGCTCCTAAGTATTAAGGCTGCAGCAAATAAAAGTGTATTGAAGTTAGCAGGGGTGTGTGTTAATGCTTATGTGTTAAACTTTTAATTTGTGAAAGAATGACTTTGCTATTTGTCTGTCAAAATCTACATAGTGTTGCTTTAAAGTGTAGAAATAAGAGATTAGATCTCCTTTCAGTAGATGGATTCAGAGCGCAACCTCACTATTACAACGCCAAGTCACTCATTATTACAGCCTTCATTGCAGCATTTAATTGTGGAAGGGTCAATGAAATGCTGCTGACAGGGAAATAAAAAAAAAACATGCTGCTTGCTGCACAGTTATGAAGTAGTGGTTGAATGACCGGCCACCAGTAATAATATGTATTTTGAAGCAATTTGTTGAAATTGATTTTAGCATGCAGCAAAGAGGATGTTTATACTCAATTACAGGTTGAATGATGTCCGTGTAGAAACAGAAGGTGCTTTTGTGTGTTATAGAGCATGACTCTACACAACAGGGACAGTCACTGTAAGACTAGAATAAATGTGACAGTTTATGGCAGATAGAATATACTTCAAGTTGAAATCGGCCATCGTTGCCCCAAAGACCATTCCTGCTGTCATTTGACCTTTCTCTGAGTTTATCACATTGCAATCACATGAGTATTGTGGTTTTCCTCATCACACATCAAGTTGGGGATACAAGTGTGTGCACTTAAACATAATCACTGATTTTGTCTCCTTTGTTTGACCCTAAACGAAATGGGACTTTGGATGATTCTGCAAAAACCCCCAACACAATTAAAAAATCTTCCTTTCTACAATATCCGTGCATGGCAACTACAGTATAGTTAATATTGGGGAACGGTCGTGGTAATTTAACTATGGTTAAGATTTAGTTGAGGAAAATAAAACACATGCAGAACAGGGAACTGAACCTAAACTGTGAGATGTTGCGTATATGAATGTATATGATCCCTAGGTTTCCTCTGTCCACCTAATAGGAATTCAATCCCAAATTCTGCTTGCAGTGAGATGGCACTGCTAACCACTGAGCCACTCTATCACCCAATAACAAATCCCTCTGCTTTTCACATTTAATATTCCCAAACAAATCCTAAAACATGACAAAAGCCTACAGTACATAAGAACTGCATGCTTCATGTTACAGTAAAACTACATGAGAGCTTTAACAGAATAATAACTAATAACAGAATGATTCAACCTCATGCTATTGGGAGAAAAAAAGAGCAGGAAAAAATATCCCAACCCTGAATCATCTCCAACACTAAATACTGTGTGCTGATAAACAGATACACTGGCACATTGGTATTGTAATCTCAGGCTTTGTATGTTTCACATAGATTTGGGTTGGCCTAGAGGGTGAGATTATATGTGAATCTATAGCTCATAGTTTAGCCTATTTGTGCTTTATATTCCACAAATTTACTGTAAATGAGGAAGCTGACAAGTCTTCATTGCCAATTCACTATTTCTGCTTTCCCATTCCCACTCTTTACCAAATGTGGTAGTACAGCAAGCTGCTTTGCTACAGTGTGTGTGTGTTTGGCGTATGTAAAAGCCACTTTCAGTCAGCTCTAATATTTTGTTCAGTGGCAGTCAGCATGAAGATTTTATTGCAATGTGAGTATAACAAAAAACTGAGGGCGGACTGACCCTGTCACTGAACTTTAGTCCTGTGCAAGTACAGCTTTCTGAAAGGCTGTGTCCATACACACTTAAAAGTGCACGGCCCCATTTTTGTTCAAAGGCACATAAAAGACAACACTTTAAAACACAAATGGAGGGCAATTCTGGCGCATAGAAACCGTTTTTAATTGCATTCTGTAATCGGGCTGAGATGACTAAGTAAAAGCACTGGTCAGCTTTTCAAGTACAGATAAAGAGGGGAAATAAATGCAGTGGTGGAGGACACGGCAAAATAATGCCAAAGGCTGCCATTACAAAACCATGTTCATGATGACAAAGGAGCATCGGCAGAGGAGCATTGAAGAAAAGAACCCTCTCAAACCCCCTGAGAGGAGAGAGGGTCCAAATCAAATGTTCCATGAAATGAATATGGAAAATACAGCTCTGCAGAATATCTGGCAAGGTAAAGGATATCTTAAAGAAAAACGGTGTGTTGTTGTTATTCTCCAGTTTCTGACCTTTATCACAAATACCGCACGGCAGAGACTGAGCTCATCTGACCTGACCTCCGCCTGCTCACAGCGTGGCACTGGTGCAAGATCTTTTAGCGGCTAAGTGGAAGTTTAAGTTAAAGCTGGGAAGTCGCCCCTCATTTAGAATTCAATGGCAGTGGGGTTTTTTCGACATTGACTCACTCTAGTGAGCCTCCAACTAATTCACTGCCTTGCTGCTGAAAACCATGCATAAATTACAGCCAGGCTTGTTCCCCTTGTTAGAGTAAACACAAATACACAATCATGCATACACTGATATTTTATACTGTAGCTTTTGCATGACATGATTTTGCTTTCAAACACTATATCTAACTTCCAATGAATCCACAGCATATGCCAACAAAAACAAAGCCGGGGGTGTTGAGTTGTTTGGGGATAAACAAAGCAACCAACTACAATAAAATACATTTTTAGTGCTTTGATTTCATGCAAATCTCATCACACTGTATATTCAGAACTTCAATTGAGCCTAAGGCATCCAGCCTTGTATGTTGCCTTATAAGAGCTTAGGTCTATTCGCCACCACAGACCCACTTTCCATAATGGCAGCAATCTGTATGGTCCAGTGCTAGCCCTGAGTGCAGCAGGCCAGAACACCCAAGGCATCAGAGCTGAGTATATTCCCCTATCAGACACAGGCAGCCATTCCACAGTCTCTTTTCCATTTTGGCTATATGCGGGGTAATGAAGGCTTTTCTTTTTCTTTTCCTCTTCTGTGGAAAACCTATTGAAACCCTGCTGTTGAGGAATGATTCGAACACAGTCTTGTAAATTTCTGCTCCAGTTGCTCAGGGCCTCTTCATACTTCACTTCTACTCAGTAAATCATTGGTTCTGTTTTATGAAAGAAAACTACACAGTCATGAAATTCCTGGAAAAGTTTTGAAACTTTTTTTCCAGGCCTGGAAAGGGTTTTTAATTAACAGAATGTTTTGTAAAAAAATTTAATACATTATTTTGGCCATTGTATTGGAGTAGGTGATAGTAGGTGATAGTGACATGTTGGATAGAACTTTTAAGGGGAAGCTTGCACTTGCAGTGCTTCCCTGTGTCTGGCTGGAGTCTTTTAACGTGACGCAAAGAAACTTCTTCTCTCACACAGCCTCAGGAGTGCTGCTCAGCCACAAGAGCCAGTGCTTCAAGGCAAACTTTGACAGAAGCTCGTATATTATATGCAAACCCACCAGACTGCACCTCTCCACCCTCTCTGGCTATCTCAGCCTCTCAGTCCCTTTCGGTTTGCCAGTGTGTCTGTCCAAACAATTTAACCATGCATACTAAACGAATATTTCTCTGTTCTATCTTCAAGTGTCTACAAAAGTATGATATCAAAGGATCTGTTTTTACAGTTTGAGGCCTTGCTTTTTCTTGTTTTGCCACCTTGCTCCCTATCTTGTGCTTTGTGACGGTGAAGGTGTCTCAGTCTCTGAGGACCCTCCTCATCCATACCAATGACTGCCCTTTATTTGATGTCATTGAAAATGCATGCAGTTCTTGCTGGGAAGAATGAAAAAATGTAAAGATGGGAAACCAGAAGTGGAGAATCAATTGAGTTGAAATGGAACTACTTCTCTTGGGGAAGGAAAACATTGTGCTCATTGAGGTACTGAATTGCTTTGGAGAGAGGGAGAATAAGGGCACATATGCTTGGGTTATATCAGAGGATATTAAACTCATACATTAATTACTCAAGGAATATTGCCTGGGAAAGAATTGATGGTACTGTCTTCATTGAGCACTGTTTGCTAAAGGTTCAGCACTTTTTATGGCTTCAGTGATATACTTATTGGATTTGGTGTGTCTTTTTATGCAGACAGGAGTTCGGCAGATGGAGTTTTTAGTTAGTATAACCATCTCTTCTGTGAGGAGTATTGTATGCCACCCTATGCACTGAATTCATTTGTTTTCCAGAC